GCTTCAGATATCATTTGATTTAACTTATGTATTGACTAGAATCTTGATACTTTCAGGTTGGTTGTCCCACGGTTGGGAGGAGGCAGTCTTATAGCAAGCAACCTTATAAACTTATATTAGGATGATTCCTCTTAATGCGGAAACATTCTGAACTTATAGATGGAAGAAATGTGCCGTGAAGTGATATTAAATTTTATTCGTTTGAATGTTATTAAGATTCGTTAAGAAGAGCTGCATCGTAGATGAGGTGTTACGTTTGTGCCGCACGTCTGGTACGTTTGTACCGCACGTCTGGTACGTTTGTACCGCACGTCTGGTACGTTTGTACCGCACGTCTGGTACGTTTATATCGCACGTCTGGTACGTTTGTACCGCACGTCTGGTACGTTTGTACCGCACGTCTGGTACGTTTGTACCACACGTCTGGTACGTTTGTACCGCACGTCTGGTACGTTTGTACCGCACGTCAGGTACGTATAAGTAGATGCGGCGCTGTAGAACATCACAATTATCATCAGATAATATCAACGAATATCATCACACTTGTTGTGGGTCTCTAAATCATATATTGATGGTAGTAAGTATATCGTAAAAGATCCTATGTATTTATGATTTTTTTCAATTATTAACGTAGCCTTCAATTATTCCGGCCTATCAGCTTCAGTAATTGGTTGTCTCAAGTTTGAATTATATAAAAAAAGTTACTTGTATTTTCTTAAGTTAAGCTTAGGCTTAAAATAAAATAGGCTTAGCGTAAAAATGATAGTCTTTTTTTTGCAGGGCATATTTGTGGATAATTTCAACGGCCTATAAATAACATTGAACATGATCACTTCTAGAAACTCATGTTCGTTGCATGTTCATGAAGTGTAAAAAGGTAATTACCTTATCGAGGGTAGTTACCTTATCGAGGGTAGTTACAGTGTAAGGAGGGTAGTTACCTTATCGAGGGTAGTTACAGTGTAAGGTAATTAGCTACAGTTTTCGGTCAATCATCTGTCGGTTAAGTTGCTTTGTACTGTTCCATATGTAAATAAATATGATGACATTACCTGCTCTGTTATCATTCAAACGATTATCATTTAATACATTTAACACTTATAATTTACTAATTATATATGGCACGTTCCATGTCAATCCAGTATACCAGAAAAAAGTCCTTAAGGCATTCAAGAAATCATTATTTATAGCTTCAAAAAACATCTAACTTAATACAGGCGAAATTTGTAGGCATGTGTATTCAAATAATTGAAATATGAATCTCCAACTTCAAATTAAAACGTCATCTGAACTTTATCGTTAGGATATTAAATGGTATAATTATTATACAAGTATCTTGATTACATCAATTAAAGTCCGATGGTTAAAGAAAATATCTCTTAAGAGAACATCAGGACAACCGAAGATAAAGAAATATTTCGACGCAAGCTAAATCTCAAACTTATTGTTTTATGAAATTGATATGTCCTAGTATAACATTTTCATTAAGCGATAACTTAATTTTATTCACTTGACTTATCATGAATAATGTAGTAGACTTGATGAACTAACAAAAGTTTTATTCGACCCTACATGCAACGCATTGATCGTTCCATTTGAATTATTTAGTTAGTCCTCCAGTGATAGTTTTCGAAATATCTGAAGAATTTTCTAATTCAAGTAGAAAACTAGTGAAGGATACACGCTTCTAGAACTGTTTGTAAAAGTTTTTTTAATGGTTTGTTGCATTAGGCAACAAGAACTTTGTCTTTTATATTGGAAAGGTGAAATAAAAAATTTTACCGACAGTATTTGCCGGAATTTTAAGCAAATTTGTCTGTCCAAAGTGGAGAGTGATGGCGAGCAGCAGCGCGGTCATCGTGGACATATAAATCAATCATTAAAGGCTGTCTGTTATATCTAATAATTATTAAGCATTTATTCCAGCAATGAAATCAATAAATAAGAAGCAGGGAGCTGTGGAATGCTACGCTGGATCTTGAGACTTTGCAGAGCGTACATAAAACATGAATCTGTCCTGCAGCAATTCCCAAATGCCTGGACATTATGACGTCACACTTGCAAGTCATTAAAAGTGATTTATTCAACACATACAATATACGAGTACAAACGACATACAGTTCTGTTATGGGAAACTGGTTATTAGTTCAAACCAGTTTAAGTTTAAACCAGCTTCAACCAAAATTACAAGTAAACAAATAAAACAAAAAATATGCATATTTTCTCATTGGCTTACAATGCTCAAAATTATAAAAGTTTCTAATGAACGGCTACCTGTTTCTTGGTGGGTGCCCTCTTATGAAATAAGTGAAGTGATATTAAATTTTATTCGTTTGAATGTTATTAAGATTCGTTAAGAAGAGCTGCATCGTAGATGAGGTGTGACGCACTGTTCAGAGTTGAGGTGACCGTAGCAAGCTCTGGTGATAGTTTAATTCCATGATAGTTTAATGATTCTGAAAATTATTTTTTCAGAAAGATTTTCCACCCGTAAAAGAAAAATTTCACAATAAATCCTTTTTCTTAATTGATTTGTTCACAATTTGAAATGAAAAGTTAACTAAATTTCATTTTTAATTAAAAAAAATTTTTGGTCGATAAATTAGGCATGGGGAACTTGTAATCCAGCGTCACAGTCTCGTAATCCGTTAGGAAGTAGGCCACGTTGTATGCCAGTCTACGCATACTGCACTTCCATTGCGTGTGAGCAATCATCATACTCTCATTACGACGGCCTTCTGCCTTTCGGCTCCAAAAATATCTTTTATGAATGAGTTTCAATTAAACTAGATGCTAGAATATTAACTGAAAATGTGGATGGGCATAAAAAATTTTCGTAGTAATATGTAAATGAAATGAATAAAACATTTTTCTTCAATTTTTCACGACAAACGAAATTTTATCTACTTTTTTCGAAGTAAAATAATATTTCGATTTGAACGTTGACAATAAATTGAGGAATACAATTCTGTTTTGTCTGGCTTCAGCAATTTGAAATTTTTCCATATTGATGGATAACTAAATTAAATTTGAGGATTGAACCAACTGATTCATATCATTTGGCCGAATAAGAGACATCAGAATGCAAATATGGAAATAAATAATGCAGAAAATGAGTTTGTTGATTTACTCAAGAATGAATTCTACGCAATTGTTGGAAAATTACCCTACTGAAAATTTACCAGCGGATCTATTTTCTTACAATACACCCAGAATTTGGGCTAATTAGAAAATGAAGAATGCAGCACTTCCTTTGCAGTCACTCAATGTGTACTAGACTTAATATGTACTACATTGAGTAATAAAGGATTACTTATTTCTCTATGAACTGAATTAATTCGTTTATGGAAATTAATCTAATCTGTCGGCCATAAATATTCGTGCGGAAGAAATGAGCAGGAGGATAAACCGAACAATTAATTGCTTATGCGTAAAACGCAATTTGATATAAAATATTTCATTTTTGTGCCGGAATAACTATACCTCCAACTGATGCATGTTGTGGGTTGCCTGCCGGTCACGTCACAATGTAAAGAAAACGAGCGATATTTATCAAGCAATCGAACTACGGAACATATAGAGAATTACTTGTTGTGTACCAAAGACTATGGCCGCCGTTCAAAGTAAGTCAATCTCTTATCAATTCAATCATTTCAAATTTCCCATTCTAAGCTGCGACTGCACTACCATCAGATAAGCAGGAAGGAAGGGAGGCACATTCATATCGCCACACCGCACTTTTATTGATGTATGGAATGATTGTCAGCTTTACAATTGATATTAATGATAATATCTGCATTTGTCTTATAAATAAAAGTAATCCTACACCCGCCAGTAAATAAATAGAATATAAAGTTTTTATTATATGCTGGTTTATAGAAAGATTCTTGCAAAGAATAAAAATTCGGACAAATTTTAGTCAGTCAATGATATTAAAAATTAGTCTTTGGGTCACAGTGTGGCCCAGTGGTTACAGTTCAGGGCCCATACTTTCAAAAAAGTTAACTGATCGGAAGTTCATCAGCCAATCGTGACGGCCTTTCAAGCAAAATCCACCAATCAGAGACAAGAAAATAAGAGCGTAAGTTCTTACGTTCACTTAGCGAGTTTTGAAAGTGTGGCCCCTGATTGCCATAAATCAGTGGTTCCCAAACTTTTTCAGGCTGGTGCCCCCTTTGGCTCCCTAGTGAATTTCTAGCGCCCCCCACAGACATACGCCTCTTTCATGACATTTAGTTCGCTGCAATTTTAAAAGATAAAGGTTAAACACAAATGTGTATTTCACGAATAAAACCCATTTAGTGAACCAAGATGTTTTTCAGCTGTTTTAACTGTTTCAGCACTAGCAACCTAGGACGTCTCGGGCGAATATACGGCCGGACTCGTGGCCTGTCTCACGACCAATCTCCAAATTCGACTATCAAGTAATATCTGCCAAACTAATGAACGCAGCTCTATGAAACTTGGAACACTTATTCATCGGAACCTAACGGTGATGTTTAGCACGTATTTTTTTTTTAATTTTACCTCCATTCGTGAGTTACGCGTACATTGCGAAACAGGCCGAAATTCACAGTGATCAAAGAATTTCTTCTAAACTATTGTGCAGTTTTGAACGAAATTTTGAATATACATTCCTAACTACCAAACGGTGATTTTTAGCTTATAAATTTTTTTATTTTACCTTCGTTTGCGAGTTTTTTTTTCTTGATTTCACACTTCCTTATATTCGACCCGTATCGCCTGGTAATATGTCACTTAAATTCACTGCGATCAAGAAGTTTCTTTCAATTTCAGAACAGATTTCAAGGAAAGTTTGTATATAAATACCTAACCACTCAACGGTGATGTTTAGCTCGTGTCAATTTTTTTATTTTGCTTTCGTTCGCGAGTTATACAGATATAGGAGGAACGACCGGCTTTTCTACCGGCCGGTGTAACCAAGAGCCTTATACGTATAGCCGTATAACTCGCAAACTGCTCTTCTTAACGAATCTTAGTAACATTCAAACGAATAAAATTTAATATCACTTCACGGCACATTTCTTCCATCTATAAGTTCAGAATGTTTCCGCATTAAGAGGAATCATCCTAATATAAGTTTATAAGGTTGCTTACTGTAAGACTGCCTCCTCCCAACCGTGGGACAACCTGAAAGTATCAAGATTTTAGACAATACATAAGTTAAATGAAAAGATATCTGAAACATCTCCTGCATACTAAATTAATTAATTAAAATCTCCTGCGTTCTTGTTGATTTTGGACGTTCATCTGTACGACTCGGAACAGGGATTCTTCAATCTCTAGCTCATTAGCTACAAAATTAATTTTAAATTTTTCATAATCCTACTCTTTCAATACTAATCGTCGTGTTGAACCGATCAAAATTGTCAATTGAAGGTATGTCACATAATGAAATTCAACTTTCTACGACATGCAAAAATTTTCTAAGTTTTTCTGAGGATAACTATTGAATATTTGAGTTATGGTAATTCCAAACTGTTTTCATAGCTCTCAAGTAAATGGCACCTACAGATGGAGCATGCCTATCTGCTGTGAGTGCGTGTTGCGTGTGTGAGTGCATGAACTTATTCGTGACATGCGAATAAACTCAGCTTTCTTGAGTCATGAATGACGTCGTGAATTCGTGAGCGAGGGCTGCTACTGACTTATTAGGTCAATGTCCTCGTGCGTGTATATTGATTCATTTTGAAGGCCTCGTAGAATATAAAATAATATTAAACATCGTAATAAAGTCATATTATATTGCAAGGGAAATGAAATTGCTAATTGTTATTCTTCCTGACACGCGTTGTGTCGAAATAATTCCGGCTCTGTTTTATGATAATTGATTTAGTTACCCTCAGATATAATTTGATCAATTTATAGGTTATTATGTCTCAGTTATATATTTAATGCAATTTTTCTTCAATGAATGCAACGATATTCAAATAACTATTTAAAATTTTTGACTTTTCAAAGAAGCATAATTCGAAAATCAAGTTCTGAATATTGGTCGCGTGGATTTATACCATATTGATTCCAAGTTTTATACGGTGACACAGCCAACTACTTAATGAAATATTATTAAATTAATTAATTCCATAATTCCAATTTTGAAGCTCATGAGGCTATTAAAGAAGCAAGTATTAGAGAGCGATGCTGAGGCAAGATAGATTTTTGTCTATACATTTAATTAAGGCTGTATTACAAATTGAGTATTAACCTTTCAAGCCTCGCGTGTAGGAACATATGATATCAAAGAGAATAAATGTAATGTGGATCCTTTAGAAGCGTTATCACAATGAGAGTTATTTTAAAGAAGGGTTAGAGACCAGCAACTCAAGCCGGCGTTGCTTTTGAACATTTTCGCGTCCCGTGCTTTGAAACGCTGTCAAATGTTGCACATTTTGCGATGGAAGAATATTTATTTGTCAGCAAAACGAATGAATCTGAATTTTTCTCATAATACAGAGAATTTTTCCACCGCCTTCACAAATAGTTAGCATGTTAAGTTTTGTATATATTGCCTTATACATTGGTAGATTCTTGCATGAAATACTAGGATGACGCATTGGCAAATTAAATTTGAGAAATATTGTTCATTGATTAAATTAATAGCAAAATATTTTCGATACCTAGGTTAAAAACTTTAAAAAAATTCCAACTCAGGTTTCAAGCTCATTCTCCTTAGGGGTGAAATTTAATAAACATTTTTTAATCTCTATTTTCCCTCCGCCACACCCTCGCAGAGTCGCTCTCAGTCGCGATGTTGCAATAGCGCATCATAACTGCTGGCGACCCACTCGCCATAACTATGGTACGGCGTGCTATTTCTTCAATATTTTCAACATATGGCATCATCTCAACACGACTGATTCAGTAGAAGTAACGTAGCATGAACTTATGTATTGTTCCTAATGTATATTTTATGAAAACTATTAAACAGTCGAAAATATGCATGCGTACAAAACAGTTTCCTGCAATTCCTAAGAAAAATAAAAATGTCTAGGGGTCTTAATGCTATTAGTTATTATTGCAGAAGTCATTGTAATTTTGCTACATTATCGCAATAAAAATACAACTAAATATATGCTATTGATAATACAGAAATCTTTTAGAGACCGTTCATGGATTTTCATACATTTTAACTTATTTTCACATTTTCATAGTTGACTGGGTCACACTGCCAAATTTACAGCAGTTTTTGCTACAGGTTCCATTTTCTAAGATTCGCATTAATTCAGGTGACTTTGTTTTCGTGGGGAACTATAGAATTATAATATAATTAATTTACATAATCCTGCACGTAGACACTTATTATACTAGATCTCAATAAAATATCACCTAAAGATAGTGCATGCCTACCTGCAGTGAGTGTGCGTGTTGCGTGTGTGCGACGTATGAACTTTATTGCCAACATGTGAATAAACTCAGCTTTATTGAGTCATGAATCCGTTATTGAGACCTTGAGGGCCGGGGCTGCTCGTGAGGTCTGTTGCGAGGCAGTCATTCATGCATGTAACTTGATTTCTTTTGAAGCCCTCGTTGGTATAATAATTTATTATTGAATATGAGAAGTTTTTATTTCAAAAGACGTAGTCTGTAATAAATGTTTATTAATGAGGCCGTACCGTCACAATACATTACATTGTTTAATAAAACAGAGCTGCACCTCTACTGCACTGATACCTGCTTGCATTTCTGTTCATAATCTCCGCTAATAGCGTAATTTTGGTTGCATGGCTCGGTCGCCGCACGAACAATCCACTCACAATTGTTGTTATTATCCCCATTAGAGTCACCGTCTGTACTTGCATTGCAGTATAATTTGAATTCGTTTCTAAATCATGCAGTCTTATAGCAAGCAACCTTATAAACTTATATTAGGATGATTCCTCTTAATGCGGAAACATTCTGAACTTATAGATGGAAGAAATGTGCCGTTAAGAGATATTAAATTTTATTCGTTTGAATGTTATTAAGATTCGTTAAGAAGAGCTGCATCGTAGATGAGGTGTGACGCACTGTTCAGAGTTGAGGTGACCGTAGCAAGCTCTGGTGATAGTTTAATGCCCTGATAGTTTTATGATCCAGAAAAATATTTTCTCAGAAAGATTTCTACCAAGAAAAGGGAAATTTCACAATATAATCATTTTCTCAACTAATTTATTCCCAATTTGGTAAGTAAAGCTGTTGCTAGGCAGCTGCGATTCGTGGCAGCTGCGGTTTAATGCTGACAAGTGTATAGTACTTCATCTCAGGAAGAACAATGAACAGCAAGCTTGCAACGAGAGAGTAATGATTGAAAAGTCTAGTGTGGAAAAAGATTTCGGAGTTTATGTCGACAAGGAGCTAAAATTTTCTAAGCATGTTGAAACGCAAGCTAACACATCCAACAAACTTCTTGGACTAATCAGACGCTCTTACGAGTTCTTTTATGCAGAAGTGATGAAGCAGTTGTTTGTTGCTGTCGTGCGCCCGAATCTAGAGTTTGGAAACGTTGTGTGGTAACCGAGATTTGAAAAGGACAAAAATTTAATAGAGAATGTTCACAGACGTGCAACAGAGATAATTCCAGGCTTGAAGGGCAAGTCTTTAAAGAAAGATTAAAGATTATGAAGCTTCCAAGCCTCAGTTATTGACGTCTGCGTGGGGACCTCATTGACGTATACAAGTATACTCATGGTCTATACAAGGTCCCTGAAGGATTACTAGAATTTGAAACAAGAACCAACACCAGGGGCCACAGCTATAAACTAAAAAAACTGCGCTGCAACTTATCCACGCGACAACATTTATTCTCGCTTCGAGTCATCGACATGTGGAACAGTCTTCCTGATAGCATCGTTGACGCTCAGAGTATAAACGCGTTCAATAACAGAATAGATAAAACTATGGAAGAATATATGTTCAAACTTGAAATGCCTAGCACCATGTCGAACCCGGTGGAAGTCTAGTAGCTATTTTCAAACTATCGTCAGTCTTGAAAAGATCTGGTCAAATGGCACGATTTTAGATTTCCTGCGAACAAGTCACGAAAAGTACAAAAATCGGCGACAGGCCACATATCAGGCCTATTCTTCAGCGCCGACATCACTATGTTATGACCTCACGATTCGTTTTTAATGAAGATAAATAAATTTTGGGCAATAAATTTGTCATGAGGAACTTGTACATTGTCACAGTCCCGTTATGTTAGAAATTGGGTCGCTCTGTATGACCGTCAGAGAACATTCGAGTTTAGCAGCCTAAGAGTTAGTTACCTCCACTCTATCATGAAATTTCGCCTTGCGGCTCCAAAATAAATTAAACCAACGGAATTTAGTTATATGTCTAACTCTTAGTGCACGGAATTTGACGAGGCATAAAATTTGAAACATTCACTTTGTAAATAAAAGAAACAAACAATTTACTATCAATTTGATGGCAACAACTGAATTTTGAACAATTTTTGCAATAGAATAATATTTTGTGATCACGATAGCTTAGGAATTTGTAAATTGAGTCTATTTATCATTCGATACAATCAATTTAATAATTAGGTAAATCTCTGGGTAACTAAATAAAAGTTCAATATCCATCCACCATCACCTAATCATTCTGGCTGGACATGCGTCATCATATTGCGAATAAATAATGCAGGAAATTTCGCCCTTTTCTATATTGTGAGATTGTTGATTGTAATGAAGTAGTATGCAAATTTGCCACCACTGGCAATCAGACCGCTGAGATTAAGCGCGACCAGCTTCGACGTGGTCGATAAATTTGTGGCAGCCGTCAGTCAAGCTGCTGATCCCGACTGGCGTACTGGTTCCTCTCTTATAGGATTATGGCTCCGACGCCAGGGTGAGTTGTTGCGTGAGATAGTGGTCAGATTTGAATGCTTTATGAAATACCGGGATTTTAGTGAGCCTATTGATTTATTATGAGTAGGTATTTACGTCTGGTACGCTTTAGGTTCATGCGTTTAATCTAAAAAACTTGCTCCAGCTCTCTCCGATCATTCGATTTATTATAGCTCTCGTGAGATTTGAATGCTTTATGAAATACCGTGATGTTAGTGAACATATTGATTTATTATGCGCAGGTATTTACTCTTTATTTC